AAATCCTTTTTGGTTTTCAAACCATTGAAAAGAGCTAAAAAAGTTTTCCACAGCCATGTATAACATGTTGACATTATTATGCAAGAAGGATGAAAAGGCACATTGAATAACCCAAGGATACAATTAATTGTCGAATACGTTCACCTGAAAATTAACTTGCATCAAGAATCATATATTTGATGATTTTCACGTTTCTAGACTGATTCTGGTATCAAATCAGATGTCTGTAGATGAGCAAACTGACTAATGAATCCATAAAATAATATTAATATTGAGAAACAGTTAATTTTGTCATGAAAATTGAAGATAGGTATAACAACTACTTCAGTTTAGTTGTCAAGTCCTAGTCTAACACCATATATAAAATGAAAACCTTCAATAGAAGTTGGGTAATAGTATCTTGATTATTATGTGTGTAAATGTGTATTGTTGGTTTATCTGTGCATTTTCCTATTTTTTCATAATAATTTAGCTTGTTATTTATGGCTATAAAAAAGTATTGACACCTATTGTAGTCATGACCATGACGATTCATATCTTGTTTTCCTATTATCATTAGTAATACCTACTATAAGTACCTCAAAATATTCGGGTTATACATGAAACATAATATTCTGATCAACTGACACGATTTGTAATTGTGCAATAGGTTTAAGATGTATAAACATGAAGATGTTGAATTTCGAATCGTATATTCGAAGCGATTATTTTTCTAGTTTTTCTGAACGAACGTCAAAGTTCGACGACGAGCTTTGCTTGTATTTTGTATGTATTCAACAATATGAATTGGTTACTATGGAAATGGAAATAATTCTCAATTTCTGATTGGTGGAAGAAACTATACAAGGTATCTCATTTCAATTGAATTTTCTGATTGGTTTGAAATCATGCGAAGAACATAATCATGGCAATGATGTCCCTATTAAATCGGCGGGACCCTGTATTATAGGAACCTATATTGTGTATAAAGTGGAAACTGTTGCAATGACGAAATGGCTCGATTCATCGGTGCTGTTTGAATTTCAGTAGTTATAGGAACTTGAAATTCATCAATGCTATGATGACATATCTTTCCTGTTGGTAACAACCGTACTTGCTCATTATCCAAGAAGTACCGATTTGGTTGGAAAAAAATGATCACCTGATATTGTTTGAGTTCATTGAATGGTTCCACAAATTCACATATTTCTTGGGAAAGAAGTGTTGAGAAATTCTTACACCTGTAGGAGAGCAAAATGGAATATCAAAAACAAGTCGAACTAGTGAAACTAAAATGAGACAAGTATATGAAATATACACCACTCTCATACGTCACAATGTCAAAATTCAATTATGTCTGAGATGAAGTTAGATACTACACCATCAACACAAACAACAGTCAAAAACAAATCTCCTTTTATCAATGAACATCAGAAACATTAAAATCGTCTGTCATCATCTTTGATCGAGATATAATTAGAGCAATTTCGCACAATGTACAAACAAATTGCTGATTATTCTAATTGAAACAAATGAGCTCTCGACAGTTTGCAGTAAACCAGCGCCATTGATAGACAGACAAATTATGGGCAAGTGAACAAACCTCTCCTACTAGGTTTCTATCTAGAACGACAATGCCCAGACAACTGCAATCAAGAAATACGTCAGAATTGTGGATGTGATTTTCGGGTTGCTGGAACATGACATAACAACGGTCTAGCTAGATAGTTGGTCCCAGATTGCACAAATATCTTCTGAGGCTCTTCTGAGGCGATCTCCTCTGGAGGTCGTGGGCGAGCCTGAGGACGTTCCCAGGCCGTCCTCCTAATACCAATATCTACGTCCTAATAACATCTCAGGAAATTCCTATAAAGTCTTCGGAGATATGTATAGGATATGGGTACAACTTCAAGAAGTATCTTGAAATGTCTGCCGAATATCTTTTGATGTTATGGGATATTTGATATTAATGATAGATAGGTTGATACAAATGATAATTCGATGAGGAATATGGAACTCACGTAATTCGCAAGATTTTTCTCTCCTTACAGTACGTTCAAATGAAAATCTCAGATTCTATAATTCATAACTTATTCTTTGAAATTTCGAGTTCCTTGTTTGAAGAAATGTATTTCAGCTCCTTGTTGATCTTTACTAGAAGTAATTGCATATGGGTATATATCTCCATCTTGTTTTTGATTTCTGAATCTACTGAAAGTTGAAGCCTTCATTGAATATTTTATTGATTTTGAAGATGCCAAAGTATCTTGGAATGAAAAATCTCTGCTCTGATGATATCATCAAGTTTGTATTTTCCATAACCTTCAGCATCAAACAATGATACAATATCTTTTTTCCAGCAATAATGCCTATTATTCGATTTACCTACCGTTAATCCTTCAATCCTGAAGTAAAAATCATCATCAACATAATAATATTATGATTTTTGTTTTGCTCTTATTTTTGATGCAAGTTCTGCTCGTTATCATTTGTGATTTTTAGACCCTGGACATCCTCCCTGATGCTGAATCTACTGAAAGTTTAAACTTGTATCATTGATTCCGAAGGATCAAAATATCATCAAATTTTGTCTTGCCAATAACCTCCTGGAACAAATAATATAATAATATCTCATCTCCACTACCATTCACTTACTTTTATTCCTCAATTTCTGAGAGAAATGTCATCAACAGATTATGATATTGTAATCTTCAAATGTTGTTGCAAGTTCTTCCCGTAATCATTTTGAGAATTAGTAATTTGATGAAGGTAGGATGAAATTGCATGGTAAAAAATTTTGAATCAAATTTATCATCAAGCACACAACCTCAATTCTAGTTCTTCTTCTTTTTTCGACACGTTATTTTATGAAATGTTATCTGAAGACATCCATAGACACAAAATCCTCTACATCCTCAGGCTGTAACTGAAACTTTTCCAGGACAATTAAGGTGCTAAATCTACTGTGTAGAAAATATAACGTCTCGAGGCGTTTGGCATCAACACACCCAGATAGCACAAATTCCTTTTGAGGCCCTTCTGAGGCGTTCACAATCATGTCCTCAGGACGTCGAGAGCGAGCCTGAGGACATTCTCAAGACGTCCTCCTGTTACCATTCTCTACATACTAATAACGTCTCAGAACATCCCTATAAAATCTTTTGAGACAACCTCAGGACATCATGGTAACAACTTGAGGCGGTTTTTGATGATGTTTCAAGGAGGTTCGAGATTTATGGGAGAATATTATTCGTATACAGAATGAGTCACTATAGTGTGTTCTCCTCCGATATCAGCCAAACCGTCAGATATATAAAATGAAAATTCAAGTACAACAGTAATAGGGTTTCATAAAAACAATCACCTAAAGTTGTTTTCATATCTATAGGGTGTTCGAATTCCAAGATATCGGTTGATGATTGGTTTTTCTCAATGGAACACCTTGTATACTATTGCATTTTTGAGTTTTCCCTGAAGAGTTGATTCCATCAATGCATCACACTTGGTGTCTAGTGGGAATTATTACAGAGATATATAGTGTTGACAATTGAGATTCTTCAAATGTAGGATTTTTTGTGTCGAAACTATTCATTAATGGTCAAAACGGCTCACATGTTCCTGTCATAACTTTTGATTAGCTATCTACTGATATTTATTTGGAACAGATACAAAATAAGCTGATCAGTATTCTGAATGTTAACCCACCCTCTATTTGTTCCGATTGAATGTCAGTAGATAGTAAATCGAAAGTTTATAAGGATATGTGAGCCGTTTTGACCAATATTGAATAGTTTCCACAAAAAAAGTCCTAAAATTGAAAAATCTTGTTTTTGAACACCCTATATCTCTGTAATCATTCCCGCTAGACCCCAAGTGTGATGCATTGATGGAATCAGCTCTTCAGGGAGAACCTAAAAATGCAATAGTATACAGGGTGTCCCATTTGGAAAAAAACAATCATCAGTCAATATATCTTGGAATTCGAACAACTACAGATATATATGAAAACAATTTAATGTGAAAGTTCTCATGAAACCCTATTACTGTTGTACTTGAATTTTCTCTATTTATCTGATGGTTTGGCTAATATACAAGGCCCAGTAAACACAGGATATCCTATGGATATCCATACAAAGTCCAAGATTGGTCCATATGGACATGGACACAGATTGGATATCCAATGGATGTCCATTTACCACTAGTACAATGGATATCCGTCTGTGGACATGCACTGGACATTCAATTTCTCGTTCAAACTGGAGACGAACATTCAATTTAATGATGGACGTCCATTGGACATCCATTGAACATCCATTGTACATCCTTCGGTAGAAACGAAATATTCCTATCACGATACTTTCTCATTAAACATTTAATCTAATTAACTGCTCTATATTTTATATGTACTACTGGATTGATTTTTAACACTTGTATAGTGAGTTAATACTATATCAACAAATTTTTGTGACAAACTTGATATATATCATGTTGGGGAATGATATTATCATTGAATGTGATAAATCGATCAATTAACTGTAGATAATATAAGCAAGGATACATAAGATATTCGAATTGACCACCATAATTAGAATCGTTTTGATTGGTCTAAAAAGGTGTTCGTACCGAAAGTCATGGTTGTTTGAATTCTGGCGTGTTACTGACGGGCACGAATTCTAAACACCCTGAAATGAGGCATCCTGCAATGGTTTGTTATACAAAAAATCCCTCCACAAATAATTCTTGTGGTGGGGAAGGCTTCCCTTTTTTTGAATGATAATCGAAAAAACTACTGTGGAGGCGTTTATTGTTGGGGTCGATAGTGATTCGCTATTTCAATGATGTTTTTTTATTCAGGATCATCCGGAAATTTTCTTTAAACTTCTTTCTGCACAGATTATTTGTTGCGCCCACTCTCTTTGCGTCCTGTCTCTAGAGGCATCATTTCGTGCTACTGACGGGTTGACGGCTGGCGTAGCCCGTGGCGCCACTTGTCCTTGTTCTTTGTTCGGTGTTCGCTAAAGTTCGCTGAGTTTATTGTTTATGCAATATTGGATTATTCGATTACAATTTTCCAGGGTGTTTATCCAGTTTTGTGTGTATTAATAATAATAATCTTGTGTTTGTGCCTGGTGAATAATAATTATATCTGTGTCTGCTACTGTTATTCTTCTATTCATCGCAGTGTATGATTCACAGCTTCTTACAAGTAAGTATTTTCATTGTTTGATGATCTGATAGCAAAGTTTTTGGCCATGGTGGAAATTACTTTTATTTTTATATAGGTAGATATAATAAGCACACGAGCAATATGGATAGAAAGAATCTGAAAAATAAAATGTTCAACAAATGCTACAGAAAAACGAGGAAGGAATTGAATGTTACCAGGTCCATTATTGAAAGTGGTGACCAAACTTTGCTTTATAAATCCATCAACACAAACCAAGTATTTGCATCAACTTCCTCTAATTCACCTTCGTGTTCTACTAACACTCAATCCTTTCCTGATTTTAGTGATTCTGATGAAATTCATGATATAGAAATTGAAGAAAACAATATTTATATCAGTGATTCTGAGGTTTCTTCAGTAGATGAGCAATATGATTCTGTAGAAGCAAGCACTTCTAATCAACCACTTCATTTTGTGGAAGATAATGTAAATGATGCATTGACTCATCAACTGGCAGAATGGGCAGTTAAATATAATGTTACACAAACAGCAGTTACTAATCTTCTCCATATTTTGAAACCTTCACATCCACAACTTCCATTAGATGCTAGGACTTTACTAAAAACTCCTAGAGAGATGTCGTTGAATGTCATGCAACCAGGAGTTTATTATCATTTCGGTTTCAAGGATTCTATTGAAAAGCTGATGAATGTAGCGCAATCTCATATTAAAAACTCTGATGTAATAGAAGTTTGTTTGAACATTGACGGTTTGCCATTGTCAAAGAGTTCAGGTAGCCAGTTGTACCCGATTCTTTGTAATTTATTTTTACAAAAGACTCCTGTGTTTGTAGTGGGTTTATATCAGGGCAATGAGAAACCTAAAGAGGCTAATGAATTTCTACAGTCATTTGTCAATGAAGCAGTATCAGTTGTCCAAGAGGGATTCATATTTGATGGAAAAAAGTATTGCATAAAAATTAAAGCTTTCATATGTGATGTACCTGCGAAATGTTTCATAAAATGTGTTAAGGGTCACACTGGCTATTATTCTTGCAGTAAATGTTCCATAATGGGTACATATGTTAATAAAAGAGTGTGTTTTCCAGATATCACTAATTTATCACTACGCAATGACTCAGATTTTAGATTGAAATCATGTGAAGAACATCACACTGGTACTTCTATTCTGGAAATGATACCTGGTATTGACATGATTAGGGATTTTCCATTAGACTACATGCACTTGATTTGCTTGGGTGTCATTAAAAAACTGATAGTATCTTTGTGGGTCGAAGGAAAACCCAGAACAAAATTATCATCCCACCAAATTTCCATCATATCCACCTTTTTGTTGAAACACAGTTCACAGATTCCGGCTGAATTTAGTCGAAAAAGTAGATCACTGATTGAAGTAAAGAGATGGAAAGCAACAGAGTTTAGAATGTTCTTACTGTATTTAGGTCCTGTTGTCTTGAAATCTGTGTTGAGCCCAGAAACATATATTCACTTCCTTACTTTACATGTTGCAATTACAATACTGTCAAGCAAAAAATTTGTCCATCTTTGTGATTATGCCGATTCTCTATTGAAATATTTTGTTGAGTCATTTGAAAACCTATATGGAAAAGAATATATGTCACACAATGTTCATAATTTACTTCATTTATGTGATGATGTTAAACATTTTGGTCCACTAGATATGTTTAGTGCTTTTCCATTCGAAAACCATATGCAAGTGTTGAAAAAATTAGTTAGAAAAGGAGATAAACCAATACAACAGATAGTGAGAAGAATTCATGAACGTAATTATATTTCAATGTCTAGTGATGTAAATAATGTGCAGCTACCAGAACCATGTATAGAACATTCTTGTGGTCCTCTTCTGCTGAATATGAATTCCTTTAAACAATATAAAAAAGTCAAGTTCCCAAATTTTGTTTTGAGTGTAGGTCAAGCAGATCATTGTTGTTGTCTCAATGATAATAGGTATATAATTATCAGTAACTTTGTTATTGATCGCAATAATTCTATACACATAATAGGACGAGCATATTCAAAGATGGAAATGTTGTATACATCACCCTGTAACTCATCAGATTTGGGAATTTTCATTTGTAGTGATCTAGGCCCACTACAGGCATGGCCACTCAGTGCAGTCAGTAATAAATGCATGAAACTTGTAGTAAATGATGATGAGTGTGTGGTTTTTCCACTTATTCATTCAGAATAGTAATAGATAGGTAATTAAATTAGAAAACTAAAATTCATGTAAATAGTATAATCAAAGTTTGTTTTTGTTCAGAATTGAATTTTTTTTATTCTCTCAAATTTCGAATATTGTATATTATGATTGTTTAGATAGGAATATGAGATTTTTATTCCATATATCCAGTAATTTGATGAAGAACACCTCGTTTAATTTGAAATTAGCTGATGAAATTAACAACTGAGAAAAATATATTCAATGCCAACCTGAATTTTTGTCCTTGGAATATTTTTCATCATATTCCCCAGTATATTCCTCAGTTGTTAGTTGATTTGTATATATGTTCTACTTATATTCATACATCTTCCAAATATTGTTCTTGATTGTTCAATGACTCATATTTTTCTCTAAGCTTTTTGATCATGGCTACATGGACTGTAGTTAAATTTCAAGAAGAGAATTCTGTAGAGGCCATACCAACAACTTGGCTGATGGGCAATAACAATTGCTATTGGCCTCCTTATACACAAGAAAAAATTCAACATGCTATAAAGAAACATGATCAACCAAACACTTGTTGGCCTCTACACAAAATAGAAGTCTTTAAGAGTGGAACATATGGTGAGTATTTATATTTTTTGCAGCTGTAATATGTAATGAAGACTTTTATCTTCTGAATAAATATTTTATGATGATAATGATTCACTAATAAGACTGATAATTAGAACTGAACGATTTGAGGATTTCATTTTTTTTTTGTTAAATGAAAAACCATTGTTACTCATTGGTGGAATAACATTTGGTATGATCCCGAAAGATACTGCTTGACATTGAGGATTTTTATTTTGTAGATACAGGTCATTAAATGTTCATAAGAAATTAAATGATAATATTTTAGTTTTCTATAATTGAGCTTCATTAACATTTTCAGACAACTACCTACAGGCCCGCAGTAAGGCCAAGAAGGCAGAGATCGATAGTGACTTGAACTCCGACTGTGATTATGATAAGACCAAACGGAGAGCAAGGCAGAGAAGAATAATATCAGATGATAGTTCTAAGTCATCAGCAGATGAGCTAGAGGAAATTTCATGGCATAAAAAATGCTCCCAGAAAAAATTGCCCACCCCACCTAAAATCCCTACAACATCAAGCACAGATGATTCAGTACCAAGAAGTCAGCCTGATCATGTTACTGTTATTCCTGCAATACCGACTGCAATACCTATATCTATTAGCAGCAAATCAATTGGTTGGTATTTCTTCATGACTCAATGATATTTGCATCCAAATTATGTTAAGTTTTGACTGTTCCTTCTTTTTATGTTTCAGATGAGTTTTCCTGCTGTTGCTGTCCTGTTCACAAAAGTGGTAAGTTGATTATAAAATTAAATGATAATATTTTGTAATTCATGCTGCTTCTTTGATTTCCTCAGGTGATAGTTTAAGAAACATTATGAAGCAACAGATACTTATGAGGAATATATTGACCCAAGTTGTTGAAGAAATACAAAATCTGAGAATACCACAACCATCAGCAAACATCAATGAAGAATCACATCAGTCCATATTTTTAATGTTCAATTTCTTTCCAATTAATTCAGATGAACACCTTATTCTTCTAGAGGAGTACTTAGGAACCGAAAAACACTTCAGAGCCACTGTGAGTAATTGAAAAATATAGAAACAAACTTTTTTGTGTTGTTTGTATGTATTTTTGTATTCCAAACTTTTATTATTTTCCATCTGGCTTTCAGGTTGATGAATTTTCTAAATTAGGAGGAAGCAACTTATATGACTTCATCAAGAGGTGTCTGAATGTGGTTATTTCAAATTCATTCGCATCACAATTCAGTTGGCAGGGAGCTAAGAAGAAAAGGGTCTTCAGAGATCTGAAATTGGCAAAACTGATCTTGGGTAAGAGTTTAACTCGACATATTTATGTACTTTTCAGGGATCTAAAACTGGATAATCTATACAGATTGTTTATCGAATCATTACATGTCTCTTGAGTGTTGTCCTCCTCACACTAATTACAGCACTCAATAATTAATTTACAATTAAGTGATCTCATTCTCAACTGAAAACTTGTGATCTCATTCTGTGAAAATTTTTTTCTCAAGTGTAAATCCAATGAAATCAGTTAATTTGTGGTCATATGATTTAATACAACCAATTAGACCAACATTATACTGATAATTGCATTAATTGCATTAATTGCTATGACAACATGATTGACATTGACAACTTCAAAAAAATTTCCGCCGAATATATCTCTCGAACATTGACAAAAGTATTGTTTTAGTTGCATCTGAGCAAAGCAAATTATCAGATAACCAAAAAGCTACCGAGGAAGCTATCAAAAAATGGCTACGGAGAGCCAAAGAAAGGAGTGAACATGGAAAAGGGCCAAACGAAAATAACAATTAATTAGTATAACTTCTGATACTTGTTATATCTATATATAAGAATATCTTTTATTTTCTGTTTTCAAGAATCATTATTTTTGTTATTTTATTCAGAATATATTTCTTTTTATTTCAATAAACAATTTTGAACAATTCAGTTTAATTGTTTCTGTCTTGAAATCTATTTAAGGTCTATTTACTTAGAAGTTTTCACGAATAATTTGAACTCAACATAATCTGTTGAAAGGAATGCACAATATTATCATTAATATTTTCTTGCAGATTCTGATTATCAGATGTAATTCAGAAAAACAATTTGACATAAACATAAGCTATTATAATTTTCAAACCCTTAGCTTTTATGTATATTCACAATTTCAAGCAAATTGAAATAATTCATTTCAAATAAATTAAAATATCATTCAATTTTCAAATGAGTAGCAGAAAGATATAGCTAGATGTGGGTATGACTTAATTTTCCATATCACCCTGTACATGAATTGCTCTTCCAATTCATGTATATTGAATGACCATATTATGTACATAATACAGCCAGTTCATGTTCATATTATGTACATTGGACGTCCAGATCATGTTCATTTCATATCCATTTCACGTTCATGACAGGTCCATTCAACGTCCACACAAAGCCAATAAATGTCCATTATTAATCCAATAAATGTCCCTCTTGGTCCAAGATATGTCCATAATTTGGATCGAAAAGGACATCCATTGGATGTCCAATTTTGTGGCAAATGGATATCCGATGGATATCCATTGGATGTCCCTCTGGACATAATCGGACGTCCAATGGATATTCGTAATGTCCATTGTGGACATCCATTGGATATCCATTGGATGTACCTGTGTTATCTGGGGGATAACACACTATTGACTCACCTTGTATTATGCAAATGATAATTTCTTCAAAATAATATGGATCTCATGATATTTGAAAAATTTCCCTCTATTTATAATAGGTTCAAATGAAAAACCAAATGATAAACTTACATTCTAATATTTATAACTTATTCTGAAAAATTTCAATTTCCTTTTCAAAGAAATGTATTTCAGCTTCTTGTTGAGCACTACTAGAAGTTATTGCCTATTGATAGTTATATTTCTCCATGTTGTTTTTGATTTCTGAACTCTGGACATTCCTGATGCAGAATAATCAACTGGAAGTTGAAGCCTTCATGCAATATTTTATAGATTTTGAAGAAGCGAACTATCTTGGAATGAAAATATCATCAGGTTTGTGTTTTGCATAACCTTCTGAAACAAACAATGTATTAATATTTCATGTCCAGTACTCACTATCAATGATATGATTTATGTAGTTATAGGTACCAACCATTATTGAATCTACTGAAATTTCAAGTCTGCATGTGTACAATCTTTCATAATTTCCAAGGAAGCCAAAATGCCTTGGAATAAAATATCTCTGCTCTGATGATATCATCATTTTGTGTTATCAATAACCTCCTGAAACAAATAATGTACCTATTAATATTTCATGTTCCAGTCCCTACTATATCAATGATTTGATTTAGGTACCTACCTTTATTGAATATACTGAAAGTGCAAACATGCATAAGCAAACTCACATAGATTTCAAAGAAGCCAAAATATCTTGGAATGAAACATCTCTGCTCTGATGACATCATCAATCTTGTGTTCTCAATAACTTCATCTGGAAAAAATAATTAACCTATTAACATTTCATGTCCAGTACCTATACTATATCAATGATTTGATTCAGGTACCTACCTTTATTGAATTCATACTGAAAGTTCAAGCTTCCATACAATATTTTATAGATTCCGAAGAAGCAAAGCTATCTTGGAATAAAACATGTTTGCTATGATGATATCATCAAGTTTGTGTTCTCAATAACCTCCTGAAACAATAAATAATGTATATGAATGTATCAATATTTCATGTCCGGTAATATCAATGATTCTATTCAGTATTTACTCACCATTGTTTCTTGCTACCTGAGAGAAATGTCATCAACAGAGATTATCATCCTTTTGTTATTGTTATCTTTTAATTCTGTGCAATAAGTTCTTCTCGTAATCATTTTGTGAAATAGAAATTTGATGAAGGTATTCAATGAATACTCTAATAATTTTGATATAATCATCAATATATTATGATGTATCTTGAACAAATCATGACTATCATGAGACATAACCTCAATTCTAGTTCTTCTTTTTCTTCCTTTTGTCTTCGGTGACACGTTATTTCATGGAATGTCATCTGAAGACGTCCGTAGGCACGAAATTCTTTACATCCTCAGGCTGTCACTGAAAGAACTCATTTAGGACGATTACAGCGCTAAATTTACGCCTGATGATGTTCTTAGGTTGTAGAAAATAGAACGTCCTCTCCAGGCGTTTGGCGACACATTGAGGATGACCTTAGGCGAGTGTGTGCTATCTGGGCATTGAGGATGACTTAATAGGGGATTTGGTGGCATCTGGATTATGTGGGACAAACTTGTTACCACTGAATGTCTCGAACCTTCATCATTCATTTCTGGATATGGACTATCAGTTCTGAATATTCAATAAGCGTATATATACCCTAGAATATAGTTTCAATATAAAATCAAATGAAAATGTGGCAGGAGAATACTACCTATTTACGGTAGTATTCTTGAAGGCTGAAAGAAAAAAAATTCTGCTTTATCAATAATATATATCACCAGTCGTGGAAGTGCATCCCCAATAATACATTCAATTGCAGATCACCACACCCTGGTCATTTGTTTCGCCAAGGTCTGATGAATATAAAACGATCGTTTACATTCTCCATAAAAATACCCATTTCCATTGTGCAGAAAAGCAAAAAGCATCACACACAGCAACCGCGAGAACATTATCCGCAATTACAAGCCGAGAATAAAGCAAAATAAATATCCGCACACGGAATTCCAGCTCGAGTTTTGTCCCATCTCTCCCCTAAAAGTTATACACTCATCTGAATTGCAAATGGAGGGTAGATGTGAGATGTTCCACATTATCCTCGCATCACTTTTCATCTCTGAAAATTTTCTGTTTGAGTTTCGTGTGTTACCCGAGTCGTATACCTATGCTATTATGAGTAAGTATGCTGGGTAGGTATATTTTTTAATAGCGCATTAGAATAGCAGAACAATGTTAAATAAACAATAACGCAGTTTCAATTTGTAAAGAATGAGTAGGTACGTATTTTCTAGATCATAAATATACGGAGAGAATGGTCGAATCGATGGTCCCATACTTAGGGAACAATTATCAACGTCATTGTCGTCATTGGCATTTCAATAGTATCCCAGCGAGCGCAGAACATCTCAGAGATGTTAAAAGTATGAGATGTGGAGACATTGAATCTCCATTGCAATGTTGGGCTCACACATGAATAGAACTTTCATAGAACAGCCAATGTCAGCAGCAGCAGCAGGCGGCGTTCATAGAGATATCCTTGGGATGTCACAAAAATACATTCTCTCTGGTTTTTTTATAGCCTTTTCCTGGACGCAACGTAACCTTTCTGAGGCGGTTTGCGCACATTCAATAGCTGCAAATAAACCTTTACTGGTGGTTATTTTATACAAAAAAAGAATGACAAAAAACAGCTTCTCCCGCTGGGAAATCGAACCACTTGTGATTGAATTTTTACAGTCCCAACACTTTGTCCACTGCGCTATACTGACGTAATTGATGAATTATATGAATAGAAATATGTCAACATGCACTTCATTATAGTTGGATTATAATTATTAGCATTGAGGTAAGAGAATAATATGGTGAGTTAAGGTAAACATTATGAATATTAATACAAAAATAACATCCATATCATATTTTGATACGATTTTCTATATTCTCAAAATATTCTGATAATAACCTTCTCGAAAATGAAGCGAGTTAGGATGAAATCTTATTTCCCGAACTATCACAAGGAATTATCATCTGGAGTTTGTCGCACTTATTCACTAACACCCTGTATATTCTGAAATACAATTGATGCTTCTTAAAATACAAGAGACTATTCTGAAATACACTGACGCTTTCTGAAATTGAATTTACGGTTTCTGAAATACAAGTGGAGAAGGTGTAGATATGAGACCATTACATATGCATTATGTCATTGTCATTGCATTTATTGCATTATTTCCAGTTAGTATTGGTTCGTCGGGTCGATGGAGATGTACGATCGTGGTCGATGCGATATGTATCTACAGTGTGTCCCACTTATTACCATGCTCACCATGGGTATCTTTTCAACAGTGAGTGATACGAGGTCGGTTGAATGACACCAAATGTGGAGTTTGTCAAAACCAACTATAATGTGAAAAAATATTTTGATAAAATCTATTCGTTTTTGTTTTATAAGTAAAAAACAGATTATGATCATTTTCATGTCTCCTCCGTAACTTCTTCATTTATGAAAATATTCAAATAGGAATTTCACATTCTCATGGCAGTTTTTCAAAGTGATTTCGAAAAAAATATGATCTGGAAGAGAAAAAAAAGTTATTTGTAACTAAGTCATAGTGAGCTATGACCTACATTTGAAAAACTAAAGTTGGTGCTGATATCTCAAATTCTAGAAGAGTTGGTATAAATTTCATTTTTTTTTCGAAATCACTTTGAAAAACTGCCATGAGAATGTGAAATTCCTATTCGAATATTTTCATAAATAAAGAAGTTACGGAGGAGACATGAAAATGATCAAAATCTGTTTTTGCGTATAAAACAAAAACGAATAGATTTTATAAAAAAATTTTTTTCACATTATAGTTGGCCTTGACAAACTCCACATTTGGTGTCATTTAACCGACCTCTTATCTCTCACCGTTTAGAAGATACCCATGGTGAGTATGGTAAGTGGGACACACTGTATAGCACGACCTAGCTCGGATAATGTGATCCGGGTGGTATTCACTTGGATCTGGCTACATCTTGAAGACGAGAAATATAATAATGTTGTAGCCGGATCCAGGTGAGCACAACCTTCTCACCTCATCAAGCTTGTTCGCCATTTTCGATTCGAAAATAAAATTGATTGTGTGTTCGAGCAATTTTGATTAACTATTCACTTATTCAAAACGCTTTCAATAACAAAATGTTCAATTTTCACATAACCTTGTTATAAACATAGTACTTTTGT